TAGAGATACCATACGTCAAAATACCATGTCGGGCGCATTAAGTTCAGAAAGGAGTCGTACGCGGAGGGAGAGGACCTTCGTCGGGAGTGAATGTGCCGTCTGCGAAGAGCCGTTGGAGCACACGCTTCGCGGCGAGAGGATCCTACAATTCTCATGTTCGCATGTTTCGCACGAGGCTTGCTTCTATGAGTTCATACGTGAATTCGAGTCGCAATATTGCCCCTCATGCAATGCGCCTCTACACTTAGACACGAGTCGAGGAGGTAATGTCCTTGATATAGGTCAGTTGTTAATATGATAGTTTAAGTTGGGTTCATACTGACTCTTGTCTCCTGGTACAGAGAAAATAACTAGCATGGTACGATCCGTGTCAGCCGATAACAGGTCGTTGACAGCGCCAGCCCAAAGGGACCCCCAGAGAGAACCCTGGGAAACCCAAGGTGCCCGTCCGCCTAGTGGCGAGTCTAATGTGAGAAGTATAGCCCCTAGCAACAGCGGCCAAAGTATCCCTCGAGGTAGTGTCCGAGACAGCCGGGAGCCGCCACCTTCGGAGCGTTATATGAACAACCATAAGCATGATCGCAGTAACAGCGAGGTGACCGGCATCACCGCGTCGACGGGTTATCCCGAGACGGCGCAAAGCGGTCCGCCGCGCCGTCACGACTACGACCTCCAAGCTATGGAGACAACACCAGGTAGCCCGAGACCTATGTCGCGCAATCCGATCCCATCGCCTTCTGTTGTCGTTCGATCCGAGTTTCCCACCATAACGCGTTCAAGGCAGCAACAGACCTTGACGTGTCTTATTACGGTAGAAGTTGCCGATAACAAATGGAAGCCTGATCCGGAAGACCTTGGTATCGTGAACCCAGCGCCAACAGTGCGCGCGGAGGATACTTTTACGCAAAGACCACCGTCGCCCGCGAGGAGTTCGCAGCCGCGCTTCTATCCGTATGAAGCGCCTGAGGTGCTAGAGGAAATGACTGAGAACTTACGGAATCGGGTCGACAACTGGCACGGTCTTGACTTTAATAGGTATGTGACTGCGATGCCGTGTCTTTCTGTCGCAAATTATTAACCTGCTGTAGGTTTGGAAAGCTTCGACTTTATGGCACTTTGCGCGTCGGCAAGGACAAAGTTTCTTGGCAGGAGTTGGAATGTTACCTCTTCGCCGAAATGCTCATTTGCGTCAAAGAAAAGAAAAACCTCCCACCTGCGCAACAACAACAATGGGACGAAAATGGCTTGCCTAGGAAAGCAACACGATGTACCCTGAAAGGTTCTATCCTTATCAAGAAGCATCTTAATGAAGTCACTGAAACCGGTATGAGTGAGTGGCCTATCTGCAAAACTAGAAGATCTAGCTAATTAATTCTTAACTTACAGTTGATGAGAACGTACTAACTCTCAGTCTTTCTGTTGCGGAACTCCCGCAGTTCCATCTGCGCTTTGAGAACCGAAACCAGTTGAAGCTATGGCAGCAGGCTCTTCTCGATCTCAATGCCGTTGAGCGATCCCCAGTCAGAAGCCCAACCTATGAACGTGCCGAGGCATCAGAAAACGAAGAAGATGAATGGGGCAGAGGAGGTCGGCCACAACGGGTTTCGTCGGTGGCTTCTTCTTATGGCGGACCCAAGTCCATCACTACGGCTGCTACCGAGTACACTAGCGTCGCGAGGAGCCCCCTGGTTTCGTCATTCCACGTGCCTATCGACGTTGTTGTCGTAGTACCCATCTCCTCGTCGATGCAGGGTGTAAAGATAAACTTAGTTAGGGACGCTCTGAAGTTCATGGTCAGTAATCTTGGCGAGAGGGATCGCATGGGCCTCGTTACGTTCGGTTCAGGAGGAGGCGGTGTGCCTATCGTAGGGATGACTACGAAGGCATGGCATGGATGGAACAATATTCTCAGTTCGATCAAACCCGTGGGGCAGAAGAGCCACCGCGCGGACGTTGTAGAAGGCGCAAACGTTGCTATGGATTTACTCATGCAACGAAAGTACAACAACCCGATCGCGACGATCATGCTCATCAGCGACGCTTCGACATCTGATGCCGACAGCGTCGACTTTGTCGTCTCCCGAGCGGAAGCTGCCAAGTAAGACAAACCCCGTTACTAAATCAAGCTAAGCTAAGCGATGCTAACAATACTCAGGATTACGATTCATTCATTTGGTCTCGGTATGACTCACAAGCCAGATACTATGATCGAGCTATCTACGCGGACGAAGGCTTCGTATACTTACGTGAAGGACTGGATGATGCTACGCGAGTGTCTAGCCGGCTGCCTAGGATCGCTGCAGTCTCTATCTCACCAGAACGTAAAGCTGAAGCTGAAACTGCCAGAAGGCTCGCCGGCCAGGTTTCACAAGATTAGCGGAGCGTTACAGATCACTAAGCGTGCTACGGGTCGTGACGCGGAGGCTTCGCTGGGTGATCTCAGGTTCGGAGACAAGAGGGACATCTTGGTGCACTTGGTCATCCTTCCCGACAACACATCCCAGGAGCAATTACCTCAAGATCCGTGGGAGACAATTGTCTCTGGTTTGGAAGCATTAGGCGGACCCGTGGAACACGACGACCAGAGGACGATCTCAGTAGAGGAATTACCGCTCATCCAGGCGGATCTAGTCTGGGGCGATATTCTGAGAGATGGCACAATGATGCATCTCCCAAGACCGTCGTTGCTTGCTATTACAATGTTACCAGCACCAGGGAATTCCAAGAAGGCGTCCTGGCAAAACAACCCGCCGATTCCGCCTCATCCACATATTGTCCAGCGGCGGATGGAACTTCTCACATCTGACATGCTCACTCGAGCGTTAACATTGGTTTCACGGGGCCAACACGATCGCGCGCAGACGCTTCTTAACGAAACTCGTTCGATCTTGAAGGGATTGGGTAAAGGCGGACTTCCGCCTGTACCCGTGCCGTCGGGGGCCAACAGCAAATCAAACCCGTCTACCCCTCAACCCGGATCGGACGCCTCTCCAATCTCGGCCACACCAGATCGCAAGCGTACCCCGTCGCCCGCTGCTTCGGCCCATTCAGGTGCCAACGGATTCCCGTCATCGATTCATCGGAGCCGGTCGAACGATGGTTTGACACTGGGTAACGCGAACGGCATCGATGTCAGCACAGTCGCCGCACTCGATTCCGAACTCGAGGCCAGCCTAGAATGGATTAACCACCCTGCCGTGTTTGGGCGCGACAGCCGCAAGGCCGTCCTACAAGCCATCGGGGTTATTAGTAGCCAGCGCGCGTTCACGTTCCGAACGCCAATCGAGAGCCTGTGGGCTGGTCGTGTCAATGGTATTAAGAAGCTGACAGATAAGAGCCGCGAATGGAGGGAAGAAGCCGGCGGCGAGGGAATTATCGAAGAGCCATGATAGCATTTTACATTTTCACATCTATCTCCATCTGATATATATCCTCGGAGCTTTGACGCCCATATAGACGAACGACCTCTACGGGACCATGTTTTGAACGAATATTTTTTTATTTATTCTCGAGCCTGCCATCGGTTTAGGCTATGCTTTGCTCCTCGCTTTTCATTTTGTCACTGCTCTACCACCTCGAACCTCTGGCTTATTTTGCAGCCAAGCTTCTGATGATCTAAGATACCATTTCGGAGTTTTCTTATTACGCAACCCACGCGAGCACCTGTCTATCTATCAATATACTATGTTATGTACGCCTACACCGCATCGTTTGAATTCGTTACATATCGCGAGGAAAATCCCTAGATGGAGGGAGTATTTTTGCTGTTTTACGGTGGCTATCGATATTGGAAATGCGTTGGTGTCAAAAGGGAAAGGCGGAAGGGAGGGAGGGGTGGGGGGCAAAGGGTTGGTTGTCGCTCGATACTCACCGCCGATGAGGACCATCCCATCGGCGACGTTACTTTTAGTATTGCTTGAGCGGGAGGGGAGATTGGTGTCTTTTCGAAGCAAAGCGCTGTACAGTAACGATTTTTTACGGACTGGTATAAAAGAAATGCTAGCCGGGGAGGATTCCGGATGCGAAATCAAGTTTTGATTGTTTTGCTATTATGCAATATTTGATTCTGGGAGCGTTTACAGTGACTTGTTAAGTGCTTGATTGGTGATGAAGAGTATGATGTAGTTGAACTAACATTATATAAAGGCTGTTATGCGGAGGCTAGTTTCTACATAGTATGCAATTAGAACAAGATACGAGACCTATAGATGTTTCATCTACCGCCCACGTATAACCGGCGAGCCATGCCATCGAGAGATGAATACAAAACGAAGTACACCTATTCCATTAAGATATTCACTCTATATCTCGAGAGCTTCAGTCTCAGCGAGTGAATAGACGGAATGGCCGTCAGCATTGCGGTTTAAGATAGGGAAGATGAGCATCAAGTTAGAGTCAATATGCTAATTATAACATTGCGGGTGCTAGTTTAGATAAGACTAGGTATATATAGGATGCCTCTGCATAGTCGTAGTGAACGGCCGAAATACTTTGGGTAACTAGTGATTATAGATAGGTATGTAATACTTCATTTATTAATTAGGAGAGAAGTATTACGGACTTGACAAGTGCGTAGCGTAGCTTGTGGTGGAATAGCTAGCTGGTTATATCTTGAACAATTAGGTACCTATCTGACTTATAATGAATCGTAACAAGGCCGGATCGAATGGCATTTTCCCCAGGTTAGAACTATGTATTTATAGTTGACTTTGTATCAGGAGAGGGGAGTGAGGAGATAGATGACTCTATAAGTACCTAAAGTACTAAGACGAGACAACGCTCCTCTCTATAGTTCAGTGTTTGCGGCTCAACCAATTATCAGATCAGAAACCAGCGACTCGAGGGATTCCGACAGGCTCGCCGAAGATAACAAGTCCATCGCACATTTTAAATATAGATAAATCGTGATTCTGCAGAACTTGTACTTATTCGGTCGACACAAGTAGGATATAAGATGGATGGATATATAACTTCATCGGATTACAACCAACTCTCACCCCCTACCGCTTAACAAAAAACCCCTTCTTCCCCATCCCCTTCGCCGTCCCCGTTCCCGCCACCACACCAACCCGTCTCCTCTTCAACAAGCTCTCCTTCGACACCCTAGCGTCCCTCCGCGCCCGCGGCGCGAGCCGCGCATCGCTGTCCTCGGTTAAGACCCTGTACTTAGTCGACCCCACGACACGGTCCCGCGGCCTCTCGGGCTGGTCGTCGAACGTGATCTTCGTAGGTTGCGGGCCGGACGTTTTCTTCCGCTTCTTCAGGACCTGGCCGTTGTTATCGTCGTCGTCTGCTTCGTCTCCGTCCTCGTCCTCGCTCGAGTCTGCGAGGAACTCGGCGGGTAAGTGCGTAGGGACGGCGAGTTTCTGCGCGCGCCGCCGGCCGGTTGTTGTCACGGCCGTTTCGACATCGGGTAGTATTCCGTCGTCTTCGGAGTCGGAGTCGTTGTTGGAGGCGGGGTCTTTGCGTAGGCGTTTGGATCGGTGGACTTGGACTTCTGCGCGAGATCGTTTGCGGCGCTCGGCTTGTTGTTTGAAGAGGTTGTCTCTTTCTTGGCGCTTTCGTTTTAGATTGGCGGTTTGTCTAGAGATTGTATTAGTATAGGAAATGAATCTCGGGGCGGTGGGATATGGGAGGCGCTTACTTCTCGGCGGCATCTAAAGCTGCCTGAGTTGATTTTTGTACCTCCTTGGCAGCGGCCTGTGTCGATACGGCTTCAGGCGCGTCATCGTCGTCACTATCCTCCTCTTCGTTCTTGGTGTTATCCGCTTCTACCTTCTTGCCTACTTCTGCCGCTGCCGCTGCCGCGACAAAGTTCTCTACATCGTCATCATCATCAAAGACAAGATGCTTCCCCTTAGTCTTAGGGGCGGGTGTTTGATCAGGCTCTTGCGATTGCGACTGTGAAGAAGCTATTCTTTGGCTTGCCTCCTCTTCTAACTGCTTCGAGACGCTCGAGAGTAGTGCGGAATCTGATCCCCATGATTTCTCTTCTTTATCTTGGGAATCTGGCACTGCGCTTGTCCGGGACGACTTGGGTTTCGGGCTCGTAGGTATTTCTCCTTTCGGGTGTGTTATTCGGTCGGTACCCGTACTTTCGCCTTCTCGTGTGCGCATGGATAGCCCCTGTTGTTTAGGATCTTCCATTTCTTCCACTTTTTGTGCCGGGGAAGCAGCACCATCATTTTCGAGGTTGTTATTGTTTCCCGTTGATTTCCGCTTCGCGCGCGATGATTCTTTTGGTGTGACTATTTCGCTTTCGAGTGCATTTCCGGCATCCTTCGCTTGTCTTCGAGTAACGGGAGCCATTTTCCACAGCGATCAATAGTATATCAACCAACAGAGAGCAAATCACTACTGTCAATTTGTATGTTGATAGGGTTGTTTACGTCTTGAATGTTGCGCGGGTCGCACTTTTTTTCTCTATGCCCGTTTGTTGATTGATAAGATAAACAAATCCCCGATAGGCCGATAGGCCGATAATTGACAGTTGATAGTTGATAGGCTAATCGGAATGATGTGGGGCCGGTGGTTAAAATAGACTTCGGTAAATCCTCGGTCTTCCGGATCTCTCCGTCTTGTTCATCGTTCACCCATTCATTCATTCATTCACCTTGAACCCGTGATGTTTCATCATCAAGAACGAAATATCAATTTCATGTTAAATTATTATGATATGATCTGAGGTCTTATGAGTGGATTCATATCTTATAATATCGTATTGTAAAGATGTGCTTGTTATGTGCTGCTCGATAGAGAGCTTAACGGATAACCTCACTTACAACTTACACCTTCATCCGTCTTAAGACTCCAGACACTCAAGCAGTCAATTATCAGCTGGTCCGATGAAGTAATCTCATAATTCCACCACAGCCATGCCTCCTAGACCTCCCCTTCGTCAATTGGCGAGGTTATACACCCTATCCAGCCAACCCTCCAAATTCCATCATGGCCGCCTCCCTCCCCCGGCCCGGCCAATATCAACCGCACCCGCTCCGCGTGTCAAGGCCCGGGTTCCCCCGCACCGAAACACATTCACCCAAATCCGCTTCACCGAAGCCGATATTCCCAGTCTCCCCTTCTGGACCAAACACACCGTCCCACCCTTCGTCCCCAACGGCGAAGTCTCTCCGGCCCAATGCCTCGAAGCATGCAAACGCTACGTGCCTCTCGCCATCGAGAACAAGCCAAACTGGCAGCAGCGCAACCTCTCCCCGACCGTCGCATCCCCCACCACCCACGACGGCACCATCCCCTTCTTCACGCTACACTACGCCGCCATAACCCTCCTCCTCTTCGCCCAGACCCCCGGAAACCGGTCTCTGGCAATACACATCCTAGCCACCGGCACAACAGCCGGATACGCCCCCTCGGCACTAACCCTAGCCCGCCTCGGCCACAAAACCAGCAGCTTGGACAAACCACAGTTTGCGCACGCCAAAGAAGCTCTGGCAACCCTCCTCGCGAGCCCAGACCGCAGCAGCAGCAGCAGCGAGTACCTCCCCGACACGCTAACTCTAGCCGCCCTAGTCCAACTCGCCACCAACACGCGCCCCAGCACCGACCGCGCGATGCAACTCCTCGAAGACGCGAGCAGAGCGTACGCCGCAGCGGGAGGGAGCGCAGTGTGGCACTGGCGCGCGAGCGGCGTGTTAGCGCTAAGCCGGCTCTTTCTCGAGCGGAAGCAGACCTCCCGCGCGCGCGCTGCGCTCTCCGCCGCCGTGAAAGAGCTAGACGACCCGGAGATAAGTTTCCGGTACGCGATGCTGCTCTCGCGGTCGGACGCGCAGCGCCGCGTTCTGGTCCAGCGGGCGGCTGTTAGCGGGGTCGAGGAAGCGGCGCGCGAGATGGCGAGGGAGACGCGTGAGAGCCTGGAGGAGGAGGGGCTGAGTGCTTGGGAGAGGAAGGCTCGGGGGGTGATTGCGGATGAGTGGGCGGGGATTGCAGGGGATAAAGGGATTCTTTGAGGATGTGCCTTATGTGTCCTGCTGTGATATTTGACGTATGGACGTTTACCGTGGGGTGTACAGGCTTGGGATTAAATAGGGGCGCAGCTTATACCCTATACTTATACCTACGCCGAGAGTACTAAGACGAGATGAGATTGAGTGCTGATTCACTTGGTCTTGTTTACTAATGTCTGGTTATACTTATACTTACGTAGTAGCTCACACCCTATATATAAAATAGGAGAGGAGAAAGATAAGCCTCAATCGTAAAATAAAGAAAATTTGGTACTCCATCTGCCTTGCCTTTATAATAGACACTTAAGATTGCCCAGCAATTACAAAGACGTCTACACCCGTGTGTTGAAGTCTCGCTTATACAGCAACTCTATACCCGATCAAGATGAGTTCCAAAGTCGCACCGAGTCATTAGCCACCAGGTTCTTGAATAAATCAATTTCGCTCGCCTCCAAAAGCAAGTCTTCGCATCCGGGATCGGTTCGATGGCCCGACGCTTCCAGATATCTAACTACAGTCGACCTCTTATATATATATATTGAATGCCTATCGTCACCCATCTCCACGTATACCATATACACATGCGATCTCACCGGTGTAAGGCCCGTCAATAGTACGCCATCCGGAGCCTGGTGAAGCAGAAAAACACCCTCTCCTACGGAGTCAGATAAGCAATCATTGTGGGCGCCCGTCCTCTTCCGTTCCCCGCTCCGTAAAACAAAAGCCCATCGAAGCAAAAAAATTCGATCCCGTGTTCGCAAACTCATCTTTCAATACCAAGCATTAAACAGCCTCCTAAATTGCGCCACTCACTCCCTTCCTTACCTACTCGGTCATCCGCGACCCCCCACAAATGGTGCAACCAATGCTAACGTATTAATGCCACCATGCTTCAACGCCCAGACGATGCATATGTCAAAGTACTGTTCCGGCACTGAACTCTGAAAAACTGGAAATAGCCGAAAAGCTACGGGATAGGGGGGATGTATCATGCGAATGATATGGGGTGAAGAGCACGTCTATAACTCTTTTGATGCTATAATGCCGTTCTAATCGTCGTGGAAAAAAGTTGTGTTCCCAACAAGAGGAGCGGTGGATGGTCCGGCATCGACCATATCCACGTCGCTTCTACCAGAACCGTCATCCGAGGGTAGACCTAGGTTGGAGCGACGGAAATCGCCCGTCAAAGGTCGGGTAGGTGAAGGCTCGGCGAGCTTCTGAGGCAAAGAAAGCGGTCTTTCGCAGAAGGCGTCTTCCGGAGGCGAGAATGACCAGACCTACTCTTTATGTGAGAAACGCTTGTAATATATTAACTTGGGTAAACTTACCTCCATCATAACTCTACTTCCCCTGTTCGCAACCGCGATGCACTTTTCGTCCTCAAATACCACTCTCCAGACTGATTCGGCCGTAATAAGCTCCCGTACGAGGTGGCCCGTTTTTACGTCCCAGACTTTGACCCTGCCATCGCTACCACCACTTACGACGCGCGTGTCGTCAAATTGGAGGCTGGTGACACTGTTGTCATGCGCTGCCAGTCGGTGAATAGGGCACATCCTTTCCAGAGACCAAACCCTGACGGAACCATCCGAGCCTCCTGTGACTAGTGTATTACCCCGTAGCTGGAGCTGGCCAACGAGAGAAGTATGGCCTTGGAGAACTGCGATGGCATCCCTTTCATCCGAGTTAGTATGAGCACCTAAATCTATCGTATACGTGGAAAACATACCCCGTGTGAGCGTCCCAGACACGCACGCTGGTATCGAGACTTCCGGTAACAACTCTGTGACCATCAAACGCGATGGCATATATCTGGCTAAAGTGGCCAGAAAGTGTATGCAGACACCTGCCTTCAGATATGCTCCATATCTTGGCCGTCGCGTCGTAGCTACCGGAGACGACTATGTCGCCTTTTATCTCCAGACATCTCACACTAGCTTGATGCCCGACCAGGACGTTCTTGCAAACTCCTTGTCTAATATCCCAAACTCTCAAGGTAGTATCGCGCGAGCCTGAGATGGCCGTGTTCGCATCCGACATCTTAAGGCAACGGACCGTGGAAGTGTGACCGCGTAAAGTATAGAGACACCTCCTATAGACGTAATTAGTTAAACTCGCGCAAGTTTTGAGCCGTCGTCATACCCAGATGTCATATCCCAGACCCGTACGTCGCGATCGCACCCACCACTGACCAGGATGTCTTCCCACGGTACCATAGCCCAAACGCCCATAATATGACCCTGAAGGGTACGAAGGGCATTGCCTTCCCGATCGAAGATATGGATCCTCGCATTATCAAGGGCAACCACGATATATTGCGGGGTTAAATGGAGGCTAGTCACAACTCTATTATCTTGGGTAATAGTCCGCGTGGTATTACGCCCACCAGTTCTCCAGGCGGACTCGACAAGATATCTCTGTTTGAAGTGCGATTTGTACGACCTAAGCTTAGGGCGCCCGGTAACCGAAGAGCTCTCCGAAGAGCTGTCGAAGCTACGAGTCGAAGAATGAAACGTCGAGGGGCCAGGAATAGCACCGGGAAAGCTGTGAGTGTACTCGGGATCGGACAGAGGTAATATCCCAGGCCTAGTTGCCGCGAACGGCGGAACTCCATGCGAGACTTCAGAGAGGCGACGGCCGTAATCGTGCTTAACACAGAGATTCTTCCATGTCACATCGTCGCTTAAAAGATCCCTCCACCTCCTGGATACCTGTGATGCTCGCGCGAGTACTTGCGGATCATCTATGAATGATAATATTCTCAAGCACAACTCGTCGGGTAGGCTGGTGAAAGGGTCCTTCTTCAGTAGAGGGCTCACGAATTGATGTACAAAACTGAGCTGTTGGGTCGTGCACATATTTAATAAGTCGGCAAGAACCCGCGTTCTTTGCGGCCCCGAGCAGGCCTTGAAGTGATGGCGCATTTGCGAGAGAAAAAAGTCTTCGTCGTCGGCGGCGTCACTCCAGTCGGGTTGCGTATCCGTAGGTCCCGGCGAGGCCGCTGGCGTAGGAGGTGGCGGCGGAGAGCCCGTAACTTGCTGGTCGAAATCCGGAGCCGGCGTGCTCATGCTGGGCGTAGGCGGACCCCTAGGCCGGGGTTGTTGGATCATCTTATCCATCCTCTGATTTATGATGACGGGACCGGTACTAGTCGTGTCCAAAGTCAACTCTTCAGCCCGGTTCGAGACGCTGGCTCTCCTTTCCGAGAGACTACCGTAACCTGCCATCTATATGCTAATTTATATATCAAGTTTGTATATTCGCTATGCTACGACGATCCCTCGACCGTCCCGACCACGATCGACGGGTGAGTTGCCGGGCCCTTTGAGGCAAAATGTATTTGCCTGTACGGTATTAGTTAATAGGATGGAACAGATATGTTGAGCGTATTTGGTAGCTAAGATGCGACGGCAAGTAAGCGCCGTGTAGAGATTCGTACATAGATTGTCCGCGTGCAGGAAGTGCTAAGTGTTGGAGTAGGGGCACACAAGGATGGTTCTGCATACGTTCGGGGTCAATGAGACAAGCCGCGTCCCAAGACACACAATTGGTAGGTCAAACGACCTACGGTAGTATCTAAACCAGGCCTACAAGGATGAAGACAAAACTAACACTGTCCGGATCGACGAACGAGGCTACGATGGGGAAGGACGGTATAGCGACGAGAAAAGGAAGCGCGAAGAGGGTTTAGTAACGCATTGGCAGCATATATGTCGTCTTCGAAAGGCTGTCGGCGGAAGGCCAAAGAAAACGGAGATTTTTCGAGGAGCAGAGGAGAAAAGAAGACTAGTCTACACAAAGTACACAGACAGAAGGGGTGATGGTGGTGGATATCGAATTCTCAAGCCCCTTACAAGAGTATCGTTTGGTATCGTTCAAAATTGTAAGAGGAATGATGATGGTGTAATAAGAGGTAGTGAGTGTAGTCAGTTGAGGATGGTAAGATGTGATTCTCCAAAGTGGAATGGGGGTTAGGGAAGCGGATCCTAAGCAGAGATGAGCAGGAACGTGCCTCCCCCATGGTTAGCCCATAAAGTTTCTCCCGCCGGGGGGAGTTGCTACACTAGCGCTACAGTATATATACTGTATTGTACCAAAGGCTGTAGATATGTATGTATGTACTCTGCATAGTACCTGACCTTTGAGGGCCATTACATAGTGTATGCATATAATATGTACAATACCTATGCTTAATATATATGTAGGTAAACTCGGGTGCGCATATAAGACAGGCGAGACTGCCGACGGTGTCTTCTTCTTTGTCTCTTGATAATTCGAATCTATAAGCGACGTAATCACTATAATCACTATAATCAAGCCCTTATTGGTCAACAGTAGCGACTATACTCTTTCGAATAGTTGTACAGACACGATTTAAAGTTCAAACGTTTGGGCACTTGTATATAGGTACCTAACTATGTGTAATGTACATCTTGTGGTACATATCGCGGGAGGTAGTACAGAATTTATGTAAATATACAATTGATTGTCTGCATATACATATTACTAAGAATAAACAGTCCGTCTCTGCACAGTACTTACAGGTATATGTACGTATAAGTTACATATAAGTTCTTATTTAGCAACACCGGGAATCTAAAACGTTTCGTCTCGCTAGGGTCTATCGATCTCCTAGTCCTATGTAGGTAAATTTACTTTAGTCGGTGCCCTTGACTTAGAATCTGCATGTGTTTCTGTAAGAGGCAGTGAGGGACATCAATTCGTCGCAATCTCAAATTACTGTATTCCTGGTTCACTAAAGTTCCATAGCGAACAATTGCTACCCTCCAGCTATGCGCATCCTATAGACAATCGCATTCATATGTACCTAACGTATGGAAATGCCCTTTGAGGTCTACGGGCGGTTACAACGACCGGGCTAACGCGAATCCCTGTCCTAAAAATCGTAACGCATGTCTTGTATCTCAAATACGATGCACCATAGGTATTCGTCCCGGCGATAAAATCTGTAAATATACTTTGCGCGATACCCGAATTCTTATTCGCTGCCGTCCTTGTCCACTTTTGGGAAGGCTGTTTCCGCAGTTCCCACTTCGGTGCCGCGGCGCTTCTGCGCTTGGGAAAATCCATGGATGTACATATTTGACGGACGGATGATGCGAGTACATACCTTAGGTACCTATACTACCACCAGCTCGTGGCTGCATACGCTTCCTGCCATTCAATGTTACACCATTGCGGGCAGGATGCGGGCCATCGTTCACTCACTTATACGTTTTCGCCTACCCGTGCCGTTATCTAGAGCTTCTACTTGGAGAGCCAGGACGAGTCAACATGTGTTCCATGTGTTCGACCGAATGCGCACGGCATTGCTATCTTCATCCACTTACCCAGCTTATCAGAGTTTGCCAGCGCATTGCCATCTGTGCCGTGGCGACCTAGCAACTAGTGTTTTTACAGGCGGAATATTGATATACTATATCAAAACATTACTACTCGCCCTGTCAGATTAGCGGCGAATATGGTATAATCCTGTCGTGCCCGCAATATGACATCGGCGTTAAGCTATGAGTGGATGTTTATATTGTACGAAGTACAGAGGCAGAATAACGTCAAAAAGGGTGGCGCACCTACCAGCATAATTGTTAGTAGACTGCGCCAGTTATTTTGACGCTATTCTAAGAGGTTTCTAGATGCTGAGTTGGGGTAACGAAATAGCAAACGCTGAGTCAGAAGCATGCTAACAAGTACAAGTGCAACAATATAAACGAGAAGCTTTTCTTACTGGATGACAAACGGGGCGATTTTATTTAGTAAGTATGCTTGTCTAAGAGAGAATCGTTTCCGGCCTACCTAAATTCGTATAGCATCACCGGGTTATTGATATTGGCTTCTGCCAAGACTCGAGCCAGATCATGGCTAATATATACTTATTCTTGTTAGTCTTTTCCCGATAACTAAATGGCGTTTGCTTGGTTAAACCAAATTTCTTACGAAAATCCGTATTGAAGTAAGCAATTCTGATGAGACATGTTGCATCTGCAAGGCGAAAGTGATACGATATAATAAATGTAAGGGATGGGTTAAGCAGAGTAATACCAACAAAAGTTAGTGGCATTTACTGCATATATTACTATTGAGACGCCACGTAATATAGGCCTGAAGATTAGTCTTCGTCGTGAGTATCCGTGAAGACTACCTAGGTAACTGCCCAACCTATGAATTACCAAGGTAGGTAGTTTAGAGTTGAGAGCTTGATATCACCTATATAATATTAATGACGCTTCGCCTGATCTCTTCATAAAATACTAATTAAAACAGCACCGTGAAGCTTCGAAGTTCTAGTAGTTAGTAATTGCATATATAAGCAAGATATTATATTATACAACCCCGTCATCCAGTCCTATAACCCGCCGCTCATGACAAATAATGAGAAAAATCTGCTTTTGTGTGAAACCGAAGATAACGACAAATTGGTCTATTTACAGCCCATGGGTATATTATGTACAACCAGCTCGTCGGACTCTGTAACTCTTTTAAGACCTTATCGAAACCGAACACTATTTTTAAAACTGTAATACACGTTCCCTATCTACATAAGTAGGTAGGTAAGACACGGGCGATCTACGTTATTGGTTTTATCTTGAACATGCCGGTCATTCGTTTTCAAGATCCTAACTCCCTCTATAGCTTAGGAGAAACGCAGAATTTAAAAAACAGATGGCAACCCGTTCAGCCGCTTCAATGGTGGTGGCCGAATTGTGTGAGAAGAGGCAAGAACATGCCAATTACCGTTGCAAGTGTTTCCCGCATCTGCGGGTGGGTGTGCTTTCGTTGGCCGCCATCCGCATAACCGTTGGCGATCGAGCCATCGTGACCCGAAGGTGAATCGCCTTCTTGCATGGCATGCATTGCCACATAGCTAGAAGAATTAGTTAGGTATAAAAGACAACGTGACCGTATCTGCACTCACAGGAAGGTTCCCGCCGAGAATAGCAACAGCATTCCCGTCCACCACTGGTTTAACCTACCCTCGCCACCTCCGCCCAGGAAACTAACAAGGATGAAGGTTGCCCAAGCTCCGAATGGGGAGGCTAAGCTGAACACAATTAGGTGACCTCGAGCCGCACGTTTCGAGAGACCCTGTTTCAGAAGGATCGAGGTAAGACCAAAAGCCGCGGGGGCTTTATGCACCATAATAGCGATGAATACAATAAACCCTAGCTTCGTATCTGGCGAAGTAGCCGACGCCCCCATTGCGATGCCATCCGCCGCGGCGTGTATCACTAAACCTGTAGTGGTCGCTAGGCTTCTCGACTGCTTCGGCGTGGGTGTTAGAGAACCCAAGAAGCCTTCGGATTCGTCCTCATCGCGGGAGAGAGATGATCCACCCAAATTGCTCAAGCTGATATGCCTCGGCGCTGGGGGTGGTTGGAAGTTTTCTGACGCATGGCGAGGAAGGCGATCGATCAGGAACATGACAACGAAACCCAATATCAGAGAAAGCCCAATGTAGAAAGTGGGTGCTCCGGATTCTGCATGTTGGCTCCCTGCGCCAGGTTTAGCTTGACCACCTGGTCCTGCTTCTGGTTCCTCCGCTGGCGCCCTAGCGTTGAAATCGAAGTTGGCCGGGCTACCTTTCCTTGCTATATCCAACGCATTCCTGTCGCCAAATTCCTTTGGGGAAATCTTGGTCCAGTCTATACTGCTTGCTGAAATGGGATCTGATCCCCCTTCCCACCTAACTGCAGCAACATTTCTCGCGTTATGTAAGTTTCTCGTGCTTTGAGAATGCGCGGGGATCGACGCCTCGGTAATTGCTTCGACCCCTTCGGGTATGATGACTATCAGCGACGTGCCAACGAGTATGCCTATGCCAATGCTTGAAATCAGTCTGAGTTGTGACTGGGTAAGGGACATCGACAGTGGTAGTGCGCCGGCGAGAAAGGAACTGCTATTCGTCAATTTTCGAACTTGGGGGTCGTGTCGAACAGGAGACAGCAACTTACGCTAATGCCATAACCACCTACGATTTGAAACGAAGTTAGTAATTGAATTAAATATAGCTGGCAGCTGAGAATGACCTCAGTATTTTGAACTTACTGTTAGGGCAAGTAGAATAAAAACTCCAGTTCCCGCCATGGTTACTGCGTTCACTTAGAGGAAGCACCTAAGGGATAATTGCTTGTTACCGATTCATTGGTGTAAATCTTGACCGGTGCTAAGTCCGCGTATGGTCAGGGGCAATGCTTCAAGACGAGGAAGGGGGGCTATCTACGTAGATAACCTGACCCTTGGCGTTGAAGAATGCTGGGTATGGCAATTGAAAAGATGCTTGAGGCTACCTAAAGATGAAGAGCGAGATGGAAGTTGGATATCTTTTTTTGCGACGGTAGCCTCTAAAGTGTCAGAGCCCTTACAGTTTAAGCGTCCACTAAAATCTAATTATCCCTGCTGCAACTTGCTTTTTAGGCGGGACCGTCGCACGTCACTGCCGATTTTCCATCTTGACTGCTTGAGTGGTACCTTACGAAGTACTACGCTAAGTCTAGGAATAGATTAGACCATGCGCTAATGTCTGGGCTGCTTGGCTTTCTTGGCAGACTAGACAAGGCCTTGCCTTTGGTCCTTCCAGTTAAAAAAAAAAAAGAAAAAGCCTCCGAAAGATCTGTCTTGGTACCTAGGTACCTAGCATATGTACTACTGTAACCATGGTCCGTGCATATTTGCGCTCCACTAAGGTGAACGCGCCGTTTCTACATATCAATCGGTTTAACGCGACGCTCAAGTTCATAGAAGCGCGTTAAGTGCCTACATTTAACTACTTTTAAGTTTTCATGCATCTCCCCTTTTAATATATATCAAGGCAGCTAGTTCAGCAGGACCTCGCACGGGTCTTCATTGGCGTCATATAATTTTACATGCTGCTTATTACCAATAGGTCTTGCGCCGAAAGCTTATTGGATAGGTCAAAATGGAGGATGACTGTAGGCAACTTGATCATTATCGCAGAAATGATACAAACTGATTTGATATGTAGGGACGATTAATGCCAACGAGGCGCTCACCATGTCGCTCGTGCGACCTTCCCCGTCAGGAATCGAAAAGATCGCGTCTTTCAAACCGAGACATACTTACGCCGTCTTTGGCGAGGAGGAGTGCATATTCGGACACAAGGGCTTAAGGATTGATTTGCAGTTTGATGCGAGGGACCTGCGACCGAACCTCTCAGTAATCTCAGCGAAAAAGTTCACTAAGGTTGGCGACATTGAGGCTGCTGATGTTAAGCTTACTATGAAAGGCTATTTACCTGAGAGTATGCTACCTGCACATGTCGTTTCTATATAAGCCATGTGATAGCCTGCTAATGATCTGTAGTCGCATACCAATCAAAGGAAGCATACGACTACGCTGTGAATACCCTCCCGGCTACATGGACCCCTCCTGGAACCCTGACCAAGACTATAGAGAAGAATGGTGAGATCTACGAAATTTGGCAGGGAACCTTATCTCAACCCGAGATTCACCAGCTAGTCAAGCGCATCCAAATCACCGTTCTATTCTATATCGAAGGCGGATCCTATGTGGGGGTAGATGAGGAGGGAAACGATGAGCCAGAATATTCCCTGGCTAGATGGACCGTTTTCTTTGTTTACAAGAAGACACCTAGCCCCATAGCTGAGGGCAATCCCCAGTATACTTTCCAGGGTTATGCAACAACCTACAACTTCTGGATGTACCAACAACCCACGCCCCCATCTTCACCAGGCAATGAGAAAGTGGACAGCTCGTGGGAGCTTCCCAAGGGTGACTTTCCTGTTGCCGACTTTGTTCATCGCATGAGAATTTCGCAGTTCTTGATCCTTCCCCCTTTTCAGGGGAAAGGTATTGGGGCTTTCCTCTACAACACTATGTTTGAGATAGCGACGAATACTGCTGCGACGAAAGAGGTGACGGTAGAGGACCCTAACGAGGATTTTGATCTACTGCGAGATTTATGTGATATGAAATATCTACGCAAGAACGTGCCCGAATTTGCCAACTTAACTATTAATACTGACGTACCAGTTCCCGCAAAAGGCGGCATATTGCGCAATAACACGCAAATAACTCCCTCTATTCGCGAAAGCTCATCAATTGGTGGAATTGTTGACATTGCAAAGCTCGAGGATCTCCGAATCAAGACTAAAATTGCACCCCGCCAATTTTGGCGTCTCGTCGAAATGCACCTCATGTCGAAATTACCCGACTCTGTCCGACCTCGAGCAGATGCCGAAACTAAGAAACCGTCCCCATCAAAAACCGACAAGCATGCCTACACGCTGTGGCGTTTACTTCTCAAGCAACGTCTATATCGTCGCAACGTCTCTATCCTGGGCGAATTTGAGATCACAGAGCGAATCATCAAGTTGAACGAAACCGTGGACAATGTGGAATGGGAATATGCTAGGATTCTCGACCGGCTTGAGTCGACGCCGCCTGCTATCACCAGCGAGCCTGTAGCTACTAATGGTAAAAGGAGACTTGCCGGTGGCCCCAGTACAGAAAACCTTCCCAGCAAGAAGGCACGTGTCGACGAAGCGGAGGAAGAAACGGAGGAAGAAGAAGAAACGGAGGAAGAAGAAGAAGCGGAGGAAGAAGAAGCGGAGGAGGAAGAAGCGGAGGAAGAATAGGAGTAATAAATTCTAATGTTTTGCTAATAAGGAGGTCCGTGGTGCTAATACAGTAAGGAGTTTTGGGGGGTCTCATGATACCTACGTTATGCGTATATTTTAGGGAGATTTCATATTCTCTATCGTCAAGGACTGGTCAATATCTATATCTCGATCATGGTCTTGATCTATGGGCACGTAGCAGATGCTTGTAACATAAGTAAAAGGGGAAACATATTAATGAAATAGCAGATCGTTGCATTAACTATCTTGTTTGACGTTTTGGTCTATATGTAAAACGCCTTGAACGCCATCCGTATACACACTTCGAAACTTTTCCTCATGCCCTATCCATATCTCCTCTAGGTGCCCTTGCCAAGCTGGCTGGCAACAACTGCAGCTTCTTTCACAGCCTTGGCAACGGTGGCCCGTACTCGTCCCTCCTCGAGCACTAAGAGACCCTCGATAGTGCAGCCGCCGGGAGTACTAATCTTGTCCCGCAGCAGAGCAGGGTGGTCTCCGTTAAGGACCAAGGCAGCAGCGCCTTTCATAGACTGGGCAGCCATCCTCTGAGCCTCAGCTCGCGGTACGCCTAGGGAAACTGCTCCGTCGACGGCAGCCTCAAGTACGAGGGAGAAGAATGCTGGTCCGGACCCGGCAAGTGCTGTGGACGCATCCATGTTCTTGGCGGGAAGGTAGATGACGTCTCCAATGCGCTTGAATATCCACGTCACGAGACTTGAGGTATGAGATGGTAGGGGCGGCTCGCTATTCGCAATTACTGTCATGCCTTGCCTGACCATGCTAGCCGTGTTAGGTAGCGCCCTCACAATTCGGCAGCGTCCGTCAACTTCGGGGTCCTTCTCGGGCACAGCACCGTGTAGTATCTTTTCGATCTGGGGAACCGTCACACCTGCACATATGCTGATAAGGAGTTTGCCGTGGAGCGCCTTCGAGAGGCCGGGCTCGTTAAGCAAGTCCTCAACCATATAAGGCTTGCAGGCAAGGATGATAACGTCGCTCTTCATAACAGCGGCAACATTCTCCTTCTGCACCACCTTGACGGAAGAGCTGTGTTCCCACAGAGCTTGCTTGACCTTCTTGGCGGACTCGGGCCGGCGCACGCACGCGATGAAGCGGGAAGGGAGTCGGGCAGGGATCTCGTCGGCAGGGGTCGATCTTCCAGAGGGCGTCTGCAGGGGGCGAGGTGCTGACATCTCCTGCAGGGAGGATAGGATGCCGGAGAGAATGGCGATTCCCATGGTTCCTGAAACATCATATTAATTTGCCAGTCTAAACAGCGGGATACTAATTCAAGACATACCGCAGCCAAGAACTGCCAAGGTCAACTCCGGCGCATTATGCTCATGGTGCGTGAGGGCCAACATGATGTCGAGAAGCCGACTAGTCGGGTGTTTATTGCGACACAAAGATGATGTTTATTTTGGGTTTGGGTTTGGTTTTGTTTTTGCTTTGGTTTTTTTTGAGGTTTCTCAAAAAAGCAGCAAACACAACCAACCAGACCAACGTAGGCGCAAGCAAGCAAGCAAGCTTAAGACCAATGCAGGCAAGAGAAGAAATTCCTTCAGGAACCCGGTACCAAAAATAAAATAGATTAAAATCACAGAGACCAACCGAAGAAATTCATGTTTCACTGCATCATAGGACACTTGTCACATTGGCCCTGGCAAAAGTAAGCCCCTTACGAAGAAGAACCGCTTCGACGAGATGATGGTTATTCTCGTCTCCCCGGGTGTCTTTACCGAAGTAGCACCGACAAACCTGTTCTACCCGTTGCTGTCCACTCCGGGGAGTTTTCAGCCCTGGTTCAGCTGTGATTTTAGGGGATTTAATTGGCTAGCGTCTTTGCTTAGGTACCTACCTAGTTATGTGAATTTATTGTTATTGGCTGTTAAGGTAATTGATATCTTAGACATTTAGTTATTTGTTATATATAGTAATATATTAACAGTATATTGTGAATAGGAACCTAAGAGCTTTTCTTTTATGGTAGGTTAGTTAGTAACTTTTGAATAGGTGATATGTTTTTTGCTGTTTATTCTCGAAGTTCAAGCTGCTTTCTTGATAAGTAAAGAACGGCAGCGATAAGGATTAAGGATAGAGTGGATATTACCCTCTTGTCCCAATTCACTATATATAGTGCCTGTTTTCGCTTAGCGCCAGGTACAAGCTAACCTCTTCAGGTCTGATGCTGTACTAGCGTAACTTTGTTTTACCACTAGGATCAAGAGCCAACGGCAATGCAGGGATCGATAACGAATGGAGCTTCTCTTTCCCATCTCAATGTTGCGGCTCGTCAGCCTTGCCTCTCAATTTCATCTTCCTCCATCAAACAACCTTCCGCAAATTTCCCGATTCTGGGCCATGTCACAATGGCGGCGGATCCTTTCGAAGTTCGGATGCGCTTTAGCGGCCAGCTTCAGCACTTGAATGCGAGTACTACCGCTGCCCAGAAAGCTGCCCAGTATGCGATGAAGTACAAGGATATGGAGGAGGACCTGCACTCCTGTATCCTCGAGCAGCTCGAGAAGGTAAGTCTCATCTAGCATTTTATTTATCGTTATAGCGTTAGAGCCTTATAAGCCAGCATCTATATTATATATTAAAGAAGTGGCTAACTCTGTAATCTAGACTAGTATGAACACACGTGCAAACATCATGTACTTTCTAGAGCACTTGCTGGAGATGGCATCAAAGGAACGCCAGAACCAGTATGTCAGAATGATGCAGAGAGATATCATTCGAGTTGTGGATGCAGTCTGCCCGGAAGATGGATCCGGTGCTGCCAACGTCAAAGTTGTTCGAAGGGTAAGTTTCAACGTTTACATGAAGTTAAAAGTCGTAATATAGAATGCTCACAACGGTAATACCTAGGTGCTTCAAAGCTTAATGAACAAGTCTATCCTGCTCGAACAGACGGTGCTCGAGATTGAAGGCTGTCTTAAAGAGCGCGACACTTCTATTGACCTTGGCTTCTCTTCACCTGCCAATGGCGATGACGCTTCCCATTCGCGTAATGGTAATGGTACTGCCAGTACTCACCGCCTCGACAAGCGCCAGATTGAGCAGCGCATCGAAGAGGATCGGGAGCGACACAAGCGTATGCGCGAGAGCATGTGGGCCGTTCCCGGAACTATAGAAGAGGAGGCAATGAAGCTTCTCGAAGAAACGAGCGATCTTGGAGAAGACGACCACATCCTAGGCCGCGAGGAATGGGAAGAGTTTCGGCGGGAAGCTGAGATGAGCAAATGCCACCATCTCCGACAAAGAGATGCTACCACCAATGGGTCTTCATCGCACTAGGACGCGTCGCCCATCCCACTTAGCAAATCCCAGAGGGCAACAATAAGACGCCGACAATCTCGACAGAAGCGCCGTTGCATGAAACAGCTTAACAACGGCTTCCTGGCGCTGTCGACTAATGATGCATCGCGTGGCGTTCATAAGAAAGGAAAATCGGCATAAAAATGGCGTTTTTGGTTGCTTTTTAATCTCCAATTTTGAGAAGATCTGGAAGTCGAGTGGTGGCATTTGCCCTGTATTCCATTTGAAAGGGTTGAAGCATGTTACGATGATTTTGTACTCTACATGGTCGGGAAGCATGGCGATCAAAATGGTGTTCCTTATGGCATATCTGGCTGATCGGAGGCGGCCTGCATTTGATGATACCAAAATTCACGATGATTACGGACTAATTCAAATCACATGAAATATTACTTCTTATTCTTATCCAACTCTTTAATTGCGGGTGAGTTGAACGCAATACATAGTACATTTTGGCCGTGTTATAGAATTGTAAGTCGGCGATAAATAGTTTTGGTTTATACTCTTTAAGAGCTGGGGGTATAACTGGGTCACTAACACTAACACTAACTGCATCTTGCGCCCTTCGGATTACAAGCACATCGCGACATATTTCCTTAATTGAAAGCAGACGTCCGAAAAGCGGTGGATGCGATATCGATATATAAAATTAAGTTATTGCAGATGGTGGGTTTTAGGAGAAAGATAGTTGCATTGAAAGATAACTACATGTGTCTTATCCAAGCCAATAAAGAGACAACTACCAGCTGTGGTATATTTTTGAAACAGCTTCTATGATTTTTAATTCTGTCAACTGAAATAATTACACACCCCACGTTGCTCATATGCAAATTTAAGCCATGCCGAAAGTGTTGGTATTCGGCACCGGCAGTCTTGGGACTTGCTATGCCTGGGCTTTAGCAAACGCGGTTGGACAGGACAATGTCACCGCGATATGCCGGTCCAACTACGAGTTCGCTTCCCGGAACGGCTTCACGATCCACTCGAACCTGTGGGGCGATAACCTCCATTTCCAACCCCGCATCGCGAGGTCCGTTGCCGAAGCCGTGCAACAGTTGGCTTCGGATGCGCAACCCTTCTTCGACTTCGTGGTTGTCGCTGCTAAGGCCGTGCCTACTGACCCTTCGATAGCGGAACTAATCGGCCCCGCGATCGCGAAGGGCAAGACGGCTATTGTGTTGTTGCAGAATGGTATTGGCATCGAGGACGAGTATGCGCAACTCTACCCGGAGAGCCCGCTGCTGAGCACCGTCGCGTACTTCCCGGCTACCCAGGTCTCGCCCGGCGTTGTGCATCATAGGGAAGTCGAGACGCTGCACGTGGGCACGTATCCGGCTACTGCTCCTGCGAGACATAAGGAGGTAGCGCTGGAGTTCGTAGAGCTCCTTGGGAAAGGGGGCGCTACGGCTAAGTTACACGACGATATCCAGCGCAAGCGCTGGGGCAAGTTGCTTGTTAATAGCTCCTGGAATCCCGTATGCGCGCTCACTCGGCTGAGGGACCGGGAGTTCATCGAAGCGAGCTTGAGTTTAGACTTGGGCGCAGAAGATAAATGGGGTGACGGCGTGCGCTTTATAAAAGACGTCATGTTGGAGATTGCGGCTGTAGCACAGGCCTACGGGTACAGCGACGTGGATGAAGGGATGGTGGATTTTCAGATCGGACGCGCTGTCGTACGCGACCTGCCTGGAGTACAGCCGTCTATGCTGGGAGATGCGTTTGATAGCAAGACCATGGAGGTTGATGCTATTGTGGGTAATGTGGTGAGACTTGCGAGGAAGAAGGGGCTGGCTGTGCCGATGCTAAGAACGATTTATATCCTGGCTAATGGGCTAAGTGAGAGTTTTGCTCGGAAGAAACTGCAGTCTTAGAGGATAGAGGACGGTGAGAGGGATATGTTGTCCTCTACGTCTCTACCTCCTTAGGAAGGGCTTGAAATACCCTTTAGAGAAATACTGGCTCATCCTAGATAGATCCCTAGACAGATATTTAGAATCTATCATCAATAGACAAGAAAATAACAACCTCTTAAGATTGACAACTTTTTTTTTGACCATCCGAAAAGTTTACTTTCCAGGGCTTTTGTATTGTTATACAGGTTTAGGTTACATGTATATACGGCATCGTTCGTGTTGCCTTCCGAGTTTAGATGAATTATTCCATCACAACGGTAGCTCCTAGCTCCTTCATCGTAGCCACGATCTTCTCGGCCTCCTCCTTTGGTACCGATTCCTTCATCATCTTGGGTGCGCTCTCCACGAACTTCTTGCTGTCGACTAAGCTCAGCCCTAATAAGCCCTTGACCTCCTTGATAACCTTTGCCTTCGCGGCAGTGTCGAATGCTTGCAGCTTGATGTTGAATAGGGTCTTCTCCTGAGCAGCTGGCGCGGGTTCGTCCGCCTCCTCTGCCGCGGCGGGGGCAGCAGCCGGGGCAGCAGCGAAGCCACCAACCGGTAGATCGGGGATGTTAAGTCGGGACTTATATGGCATAGTTATTAGCATATAGAACTAGGAAGCCTATATCGACGAGGTAGGACCAACCTTTAGGCTGCTGACCAGGTCGGCAGTTTCGAGGAGTGTCAATTGGCTGATCTGGTCAACGATACCGGCAATCTTGGGGTTCGTGGCCGCTGCGGTAGACTCGTGCCGCCGTTGTATCGACGGAGTGCTCTGAGCGAATGAAGCTGATACCCGGAAAGAGTTGCTGGAGCGAATTGATCGCGCGCAGCTTCGAGCTGCATACCTGCACGGTGCCGACATCTTTGGCGACTTCCTCGTTGACCAAATTGCGAATTGACTGGGGGGTGGACTCCTTTGACTTAGCGGAACGCTTCGTGAGATGCTCTTCGAAGTTTTTAATGCACGATTTCGATTTCGCGAAGCTTTGCCGGACCCTGCCAGGTTTTGGCGGGCCCCCCGCTACTACGTTAGTGGCGGTGCCAAACAGCTCCGTTCCGGGTTATTCACCGCCTAAATTTCTAATTTTTGGAATAGCGGCAGAAAAAAGTTACGATAACTAAGCCTTATCTTAATTGACTTTATTCGCGGCATGCAAAGATGAATTGAAATCTTACGAAAACGAATAATCGATTTACAACGCGCAACACGATTTCGGCATTTTTACAGCAGCCATGCCGACTGTTGATGTAAGCGCACAGAGGGCGCAGCTCTTATCTCATAAAGAGTTGCTAGCCCAGTTACCGCCCGATTTATTGGAAATAATTCGCGATGGTCTCACCCCTGCACATTTTCTCGATGCTATAGCTACGGCGGCACTGATTCCTGAATTTACTGGACTTATATTTACCCATTTTGAGAGTGAAATATCCGAGATATGCGCAAGATGGCTGATAAGACCAAGGGATCAAGGACAAGAAGATGCTATTATCGCAGCTTTTGCAAGAATCCTCCCGTTTGCGCCATACCTATCTGTTTTCTTGGAACGGTATATTGGGGAAACCTCATATAGACTCGATTCTGAACTACACACCTTCGGAATCAACTCACTCAACACGCGACCTACCGAGAACTTTGCTATACATGACTTACAACGGATTTTACTTGCCTTCTGGAGACTCTTGAATTTTGACAAGAAAACCTTCAGTCGATTAGTTCCGCCTTCTAGAATACAGGATCTATTTAAGCACGGCCAAGCCTCCGTCAGGTATCTTGCTATTAGAGTGTTCTGTTGTCAGCTTAGTGCTTCCGACTTTAACTTGGAGGTGCTCATCCGCCAGTATATTAAACATGAAGAGTCTCTAGTTGGAGATTTCGACGGAGTCCAAGTTGACTACACCTTTCTCTCGTTAGTTGAGCGTCGACGAGCAGAAGAATGGGATAAATCTCGACACAAGATACGTGCCGAACTTGGAAACTATAAAGGAGAGAAGTTCCACCCCCAGGCACTCGGCGACATAGTTATTCAGTATAACACGACGATCCTCCCTCGACCGAACGGCCCGTCTCGTGCAATGTCTAGGTTGGTACAAACTCCCACGACCTTAACTAACCTGCAAAACCTCGCACAGAACCTCCAGCGATTGGGGCCGATACTTTTGCATGGATTACCCGGATCTGGGAAGACGTCTATAGTGCATGAGCTTGCCCGTGAACTTAAGATGGAGTCGAGCATGGTAACATTGCACCTGAATGAACAGACAGATGCTAAAATGCTCATTGGCCTATACTCCACAGGCTCCAAGCCTGGTTCCTTTTCGTGGAGACCGGGTGTCCTCACAACAGCTGTTCGCGAGGGGCGCTGGGTTCTAATTGAGGATTTGGATAGAGCGCCGAATGAGGTTATGAGTACTCTGCTACCCTTGGTGGAACATGGCAAGTTGCTTATTCCCAGTCGTGGTGAGACGGTAGAGGCTCCGAGCAGTTTTCGACTGTTTGCGACCGTTCGGACGACACGAGGAATGAATGGGCAGGAGAATCTCCCCAGTATACTAGGTCAGCGATTTTGGAATCTGTCCGGTGTAAAGATGCCTCCGCCAGTCGAGCTGGAGTATATCATCGTTGGAAGTTACCATCTACTACACAAATATACTCCGATGATTATGTCAGTCTATAGGCGTCTTTGCCATCTATCCAGTCTCCCACATGTGAGCAACTCCGGGCGGAGCATAGTAGAGCGTTCCGTCACGCCTAGGGATGTCTTGAAATGGTGCCGCCGCCTTAACGAAACCCTCGTAGCTTCAGGCTGCAAGCTTGGCGACGAACCTATAAGCGAGACCACGAGAGACTGGATGTTCATGGACGCGGTCGACTGCTTCTGCGGTAACCTCTCCAAGCCGGAAGCAAGAGCTGCTCTTGTTAGCTGCATTGCCGAGGAGATGCACCTTTCGCAGCAGCTTACAGAACACTACCTTAAAGTTCACGTACCGCAGATGGAGGAAAGCCCTAGTAGTTTTAAAGTCGGAAGAGTCATGTTGACTAGAAAAAAACACGCTAATAGAGTGGTCAAGTCAAGAAAACCCTTTGCGAGCACCAGTCACTCCAGGAGGCTACTCGAACAAATATCGATGGCTGTCAAATTGCGCGAACCCGTGCTTCTCGTAGGTGAGACCGGTATTGGAAAGACGACAGTTATCCAGCAATTGGCCGAATCTCTTGGCCATAAGCTTGTGGCTGTGAATCTGTCCCAGCAAAGCGAAGTTGGGGACCTCTTAGGTGGCTTTAAACCGGTAAACGCCCGAAGCCTTGCCGTACCATTGAAAGAAGAATTCGAGGACTTATTTGCTTCGACGGGGATCTCCGCGTCGAAGAACCAGAAATATCTGGAACAGATCGGCAAGTGCGCTGCGAAAGGCCAGTGGACAAAGGTATCGAAGCTGTGGCGGGAAGCACCAGCTATGTTTAATAAGATCGTGAGCCAGCTACAGACCCAAGCCAATGCCTCCAACAGTGGTGATTCCGATGGACAACCTGTTGTCAAGAGACGTAAAGTGGAGTCGAGATTGCAGTCGTTACTCGACCTGAGGCCACGTTGGGAGGCGTTTTCTCGGAGTCTGGCACAGTTCGATATCCAAATCTCGGGAGGCTCAGGCAGTTTCGCTTTTTCATTCGTGGAGGGTAATATTGTCAAGGCCGTAAGAAATGGAGATTGGGTTTTGCTGGACGAAATCAACCTCGCATCGCCCGATACGCTGGAGAGCATAGCTGATCTACTTGCTTCTGGGCCCAATGATGAGCCGTCAATCCTGTTATCGGAAACTGGCGACATAGAGCGTGTTAAAGCGCATCCGGACTTTCGTATATTCGGAGCCATGAACCCGGCCACAGATATTGGTAAGCGTGACCTCCCCCCTGGACTGAGATCACGCTTCACGGAATTTTACGTCGGCAGCCCAGACAAGGACCTAAAGGACCTTCTAACAATCATCAAGGCTTATCTGAGCGGGAAGAGCGTCAAAGATGACCAGGCCGCCGACGATATTGCCAGATTATATCTCAACACCAAGACGCGCGCGGAGGAGAAACGTTTGGTTGACGGCGCTAATGAAGTACCTCACTTCAGTTTGCGAACGCTCACTCGTGTCTTGAGTTACGTGAATGATGTCGCTCCGTTTTATGGTCTTCGACGAGCTTTATATGAGGGGTTCTCCATGGGTTTCCTCACATTGTTGGATAGAGCATCCGAAGAGACGCTCGTGCCATTGATCCACCACCATCTCCTCGATAGATACGGTGGCGCTAGGTCGTTACTCTCGCAGCCGCCAAGATACCCTGACGATGGAAAACAATACGTCAAGTTTGTGAACAGGAATAAGGACCGACAGTATTGGCTACTTCGAGGAGAAGAGACTCCTATTGAACGAACTGACTATATCATCACGCCTTACATTGAGCGCAACCTCTTAAACTTGGTGAGGGCTACTTCAACTAGGCGTTTCCCTATTCTCATCCAGGGTCCTACGTCAGCAGGCAAGACCAGTATGATCGAGTACCTTGCAAATTTCAGCGGCAACAAGTTCGTGCGAATCAATAATCACGAACATACGGATCTTCAGGAGTACCTCGGAACTTATATCTCTGACGCCGAAGGAAAGCTACGGTTTCAAGAAGGTTTACTGGTACAAGCTCTCCGACAAGGACACTGGATTGTACTTGACGAACTCAATCTCGCGCCTACTGATGTTCTAGAGGCGCTAAATCGTCTCCTTGACGATAATCGCGAACTGCTTATTCCTGAGACGCAGGAAGTTGTCCGGCCGCATGAAAATTTTATGTTGTTTGCAACTCAGAACCCGCCTGGCTTATACGGAGGCCGAAAGGTGCTTTCTCGAGCTTTTCGGAACAGATTCCTCGAACTCCATTTCGATGACATTCCTGAAGACGAGCTCGAGATTATTCTACAGAAGCGCAGTTTATACACTGCGCCTTCTGATTGCAAGAGGATTGTCAATGTGTATAAGGAGCTCTCAAGATTGCGGCAGACGAGCCGTCTATTTGAGAACAAGGATAGTTTTGCGACATTGAGAGATCTATTCAGATGGGCTCTAAGGGGAGCTGAGACTCGAGAGGAAATCGCGGCTAATGGATTTATGCTCCTTGCCGAGCGTGTACGGAACGAGGAAGAGAGAGTGGCCGTTAAGAAAGTCATCGAGACAGTTTTTAAAGTCAAGATCGACCAAGAACAGCTCTATGATATCCACAGATCGCCGTATTTGAGAGTGCAGCCTCCAAATAATGGCCAGGGCGTTGTCTGGACCCACGCTATGCGCCGTTTATATGTACTGGTTGCAAGCGCGCTTCGTAATAACGAGCCAGTACTACTTGTCGGAGAGACTGGTTGTGGTAAAACTACTGTCTGCCAACTCCTTGCCGAGTCCCTTGGCAAGGAATTGCACATAGTCAATGCGCACCAAAACACGGAAACGGGCGACCTCATCGGATCCCAACGACCAATCAGGAACCGGGGCGCTGTTATAGATGTATTAACTCAAGACCTCGTTACAGTTCTACAGGAGCTTGGGCAAGTGGTAGAAGGCAGCGTGGAGGTCTTGTTAGAGAAGTATCACGCTCTTGATAATTCGACCCTGTCGAGGATACCCGTGGATTTGCGGCGGAGAATCTCGGATAACGAAATCAAGAGCAAAGCTCTCTTTGAATGGGCAGATGGAAGTCTAGTCCATGCCATGCGGGATGGCCAATTTTTCCTTCTTGATGAAATATCGTTGGCGGATGATTCCGTCCTGGAGCGACTGAACTCTGTCCTCGAGCCTCAGCGTACATTGCTCCTTGCCGAAAAGGGGATCGATGATTCGTTTATTAAGGCTTCTGACGGCTTCCAGTTCCTGGCAACCATGAATCCTGGTGGTGATTTTGGCAAGAAAGAACTTTCGCCAGCGTTAAGGAACCGATTTACTGAAATATGGGTGCCTCCTCTGTCAGGGAACGAAGATGTACTGCATATCGTGTCTTCGAAGCTCAAACCTGAGTTTCAGCCGGCTGCTAGGGTCATCGTCGAATTCTCTTACTGGTTTGGACAGAACTTCCGATCTACGGCTTCAACCGCGTTTTCAATAAGAGATATCCTGGTCTGGGTCAAATTCGTCAACGAGAGCACTGCTATAAATGCAGAAGCGTCGGTAGTCCATGGAGCGGCGACGGTTTTCATTGATACCCTGGGTGCGAACCCGTCTGCCTTGATCGCGATAGACCCTAAGAGTATGGACACGCAGCGACAAAAATGTTTGGACAAGTTGAGCGAGCTTCTTGGTTGTGATGCAACCACGATATATAGGGCACCCCTTGAACTTACCGTGAGACCTGAAGAACTGCGGATTGGCGACTTTTCTATTAATCGTGTAGCCAATGAGAATTTTGAAGCAGGGTTCGCCTTACATGCCCCTACTACTAAGCTCAACGCAATGAGAATCATTCGCGCCCTTCAAGTTCAAAAACCTATTCTTCTGGAGGGTAGTCCGGGTGTAGGAAAAACGACACTGGTTAGCGCTCTTGCACGAGCGTGCGGCCGGCCTTTAACAAGAATTAATCTGTCTGACCAAACTGACTTAATGGATCTATTCGGAACTGATGTTCCTGTTGAGGGAGCCGAGGCTGGTCACTTCGCATGGAGAGATGCACCGTTTCTTCGCGCTATGCAGAACGGAGAGTGGGTACTACTGGATGAGATGAATCTGGCTTCTCAATCCGTTCTTGAAGGTCTCAATGCGTGCCTTGATCATCGAGGAGAGGTTTATGTCTCCGAGCTTGACCAAGTATTCAAGAAGCACCCTGACTTTCGTCTCTTCGCAGCTCAAAATCCACACCACCAAGGTGGAGGAAGAAAAGGACTGCCTAGTTCCTTTGTCAACCGTTTCATTGTGGTATATGCGGATGTATTCAGCGAAGAGGATCTTCTGCTTATTGCTGAGCACAACTTTCCTAAAGTGGCTCCCGAGACGGTTCGCAAAATGATTAATTTTATATCCAATCTCGAGACACGCATCTTGGTCGAGAAGGCTTTCGGATCCCAGGGTAGTCCCTGGGAGTTCAACCTTCGTGATACTCTGCGATGGCTGCACTTACTTACCTCATCAGATCCTTTACTGAGTACCGGGAAGGTCGACGACTTCTTAAATATTGCAATCCGACAACGTTTCCGAACAGAAAGGGACAGGCTGGAGGTAGACAAGCTTTTTGCGGAAACATTCGAGGCGCCCCCAAAAAGTCATCAATTATATCATAACATGAATTCGTCCTTACTTCAAGTTGGGCTCGCGTTGGTGCGGCGGAACAAGCTCCTACAGCCGTCGCAATTTCCCAGCATGGATGTTGTCCCCCGGCTCATGGAGATAGAATCTCTTTTAATATGCATTAACCAGAATATTCCCTGTATTCTTGTCGGACCCTCAGGAAGTGGAAAATCGATGCTCTTGCAGCATGTTGCCGCTTCGTGTGGAAAGTCGCTTGTCACATTTCCGATGAACGCCGATATAGATGCTATGGATCTTGTTGGAGGCTTTGAGCAATCCGACCCTGTGCGCGATATCAATGCTGCGTTACGAGAACTGCGGGAAGCTTTACAAATCTCGACTGCGAGCACGCTGGTCGAAGGCACGCTCGGGTCAGCGGTTGACTTATTGAACGTTCTTGGCTCCTTGACAAGCCAGGCCGGAGTCCCTCAATCACTGCTGGACCGCATTGGAAACCTCTTAGCTCAAATCCCGGAAAATTCGGATTTGGCAATAACGCTCTCAAATGTGCGCGAGACCCTCCAGCGTTCTATAAGTATTTCAAACCCTAAGTTTGAATGGCTAGACGGCATCATCGTCAAAGCTCTTCAAAATGGGGATTGGTTGGTTCTTGACAATGCGAACCTCTGCAGCGCTTCTGTTCTCGACCGATTGAATTCCTTACTCGAACCAGGTGGTAATCTGATTATCAACGAACACTGTGGTCCAAATGGCGAACCGAGGATTATTGAGCCTCATCCTGATTTCAGAGTGTTTTTGACTGTCGATCCTCGCTATGGAGAACTCTCACGGGCAATGAGGAATCGTGCTATCGAGATTTATATTGAACCTCACAACTCAGCCGCGCCCTTCTGGAGGAGTCGTGTCGCCGAGGTGGAGTCGAGCCTGAAGAGATATGAATTGCAATCTGCGGCGCTGTCATTCGACATTGAAAATAACTCGTCTATATTCGATGTGGCTGTAGATGCGTTATCCTTCGACGACTTGCCCTTGCTGAAGAAGTATACGCCATTCGATTGGCAGCCGCGGGCGATGCCACTGGTACAACGAAAAGAGATTGCAGAACGTCGTTTTAGAGGTGCGCAGTTAGACTTTAATAGTGCTAAGCAGACGATAGGCCCGTTTCTTGATTCCGAAGTCATGGTTCATATTCTTACTACGATCCGCCAATTATATGCCCCGTTGGCTCAGACTATCGCTCCTAGTTTTGAAGATATGCAGCCGCTCTACCCGCTACAAAATTCAACGATTGTTTCATGTCTTCAAGGTGACTTTCCTCAGCTTCCATTCTGGTTAGCAGCATGCTATGACCGCTATGTGGACATTGCCGAAGCTAGGAGGCGACTGTCTTTAGAGAATCCCAACGGCAAGGGCTTCCGGGTGTCCGAATTGAATCGTCTTCAGAGGTCATGTATTGCTCACAGTGTGGCCGCTGCTTCAAAGGATTCAACTGTAGGAGCATATGGGTTCCTTAATAATATCCTGAATGGCCTTTGCAGTTTTATGCATGCTAATATGTTTAATACCAATTCTTGGAGAGTAAGTATTAATCTGCTAAATTGTTTGTTATACATCCGCTAATGGTATTAGGACCGGGCGTACTTCTGTCGGGATATTATGAACAATTGGTGGATAGCAGTCAAGTTCCTTACTGCACCACGCTTTACTGAAGCAGGGTTCCAAGCTTATCTGAGCCTCTTCTCCGATATGCTGTCCGGTTACATCTCCCATGGTGCGGATAACAGGACACGTGAACTGGCCTCATATATCCTTAAGATGATAAACGACTGCTTCGTTTCTGGGTTTACCCTGTCTACGGGCTTGAGTATGGAAATTCTCTGGGAGGGATTGCGGCCTATTCCGATCAAGGACGAATTACTTCTAGACAACATTCGCCGCATGGAACGACTGGCCGCGCAATTTGACTCGGTTAAATGGAAGTCTACTACTAGGTTGCCGGATCTTGCTAACATAATGGGGTCTTTTGTTAAAGTATACCAACTCATCAGGCTGGGGCAACCAAAGGTGGAAGAACTCTTGGGAACACTGACGACTGAAATTGACCAATTGGTTAGCAAACTAGGCGACGACGGTACAGTGACATCTCCATTCATGGCTGCCGAATTTGAAACCATGAGGCAGATCACCCTACTCGATAGCATGTCATGCCGGACAGACCTTCCACAAGCTTCAGGGGATATGATCTTATTATCTAGCCTCCCTCTTGTCACGCAAATGCGCACCGCCAGTGCTTCTACTACGTCGAAGCTCATGTTGTCAATTGAAAGCCTCGCTAGCGACAATATTGAGCAGCAGCACTGGGATGATGTCTTATCAGCTCGAATCATATCAAAACTTGAGACCGTCGATTCAGCAGGTCTTGGTTCTTTGGCTTCACTCGAAGCGGAGCTGCCAATTTTAGCAAAACAAGTCTGTAAAGATGCGGAAGCGATCACTGCTGACCGTCTCGGCAAGCTTAGTGAAGTACTCTGGCATCTTATGGCCGATGTGCTGGCCATCTATAATCCCGCTCTGGTTACCGAATTTAGCTCGGCTCTGAACACACCTGAAGCTTTGGACGTATCTAATTTCTTCGCAATTGGAGGGCAAGAAAACAAACTATTCTTCAACATAGATCAGTTTGTTCCGAATGTGATGCTGACTAGCCAAGATAAGTATTCCAAGATTGACAAGCGTCATCTTGTTCCCTCTCTTGCATTCCTAGTTGCGTCTAGAAGCGGATCTAGACACACAAGGCGTGCTCATCTTGCAAACGCATGGGTCCAATTTTCTGTAGCTCTGATTAAACTCTTCGTCCCCGACAAGGCATACGATCCCCAGCTAAAATCAGTTCTAGGGCTTGAAGGCTACCAATACCGCTTGCAGGCCTTGAACTATGAACTTGAGCTGATACGACAATTCGAAAAGTTCCAGACGGGCCAGTCTACAAATTTAAGATGCGAACTCCTGGAAGAAGAAATTGCCGCAGTCGGGCCACCTCCTACTTCGGTCCAAGCTGTCTATCGCCCTGCGGACCACCAGCTTGCCAATGTTCAGACAGAATTCAATAATCTGCTGAAGGTGGTACTCAAAACCGATCTTAGCGTACTTGTTTTACAGCACTGCTCGGGTTCAGGTTCTGCCACGCAACAGCTCGATGTCATCCGAGAAAATATATCAAGGATAGCAGACCGCTTGAAACACGAGAGATACCGTGCATACGAAGACATAGTATCCCCTGTTATAAATATGATTCATTGTCTGGAGATCGGCTTGTACTTGGGACGACAGGCAGGACCGGAGGTTTCTAGCAGCAATCATCCGTCCAAAACATTACTCAAACTTGCTCCTCTCCTTGGTGGAAAACCGGACGCCTCAGTTATACAACCAAATCCATCTCAGAGCTTAGAGTTTCTCTTCTATACTCGCATGATAGTTGCTGTGGAGGGCTCGAGTGGACTTGAAAGAGTCAAACAGGGAACCTTTCAGGCAATTCACTCGTTATATGATCAGTGGGCCCTGAAGCTTGATGCTGATAAGAAAGCTGAGGAATCGAAGAAAAGCTGGTATCGCTATCGAGGTGGCTTTAGCGAGGAAGAGGCAGCAGAACAAGAAGCGTTCGATGAGCTGTTCCCGAGCTTTGATGAAGACAACGAATCTGAACAGAGGGATGCCCCTAAAATCGGCGACGCTCGCGCACTGGCTATCAGACTATCACAATTGCATAAAGAAATCTTCCTCACACCCCAAGAAGCTGCCGAAAGCATAATCAGCCTGAACAAGAATTTCGCCCGGAAAATATCGGCAGACATTGATCCTTCGATAGAAGATCGGAATTTGCTTCCGGTCGTGCTCTTGTCCCTGGATGAGAAGCTGCAAGAGATAGGTTCTAACGCTAGCTCAGCTGAATACAACTTCTACACAGACCGGAACCTTGCTGAGACAAGGAAACTTGTTGGGTTGGTTAATGAAATCCGCGCCCGATTCCAGCAACTTCGGCAAGTCGACGAAATTGGTCACCTGCAGCCACTGATCGATGTTGTATTATCTTGCGATAAAATCTTGCAGCTTGGACATTCGGACCCTCTCGCTAGCACAATACCAAAAGTTGAGCAGTTGCATGCCTTCGTATACGAATGGCAGTTTGGCGGTTGGGCAAGCAAAACATATGGCGTGTTACCGTTATATAACAGATTAACGGACTTACTTGTTAGTTGGCGCCGCCTGGAACTCTCGACATGGGGAAAACTGTTCGACATGGAAGTTAAGAAGAGCGAAGAGGATGCCAGTTCCTGGTGGTTCATCGCTTACCAAGCCATCATCGCCGCGCCGTTGACCCTAGCTCAGGATGGAAAGGATATTTCGCAACATGTCTCTGGCTTGTTGAAGGAATTAGAGACGTATTTCTCCTCGGCGCCTGTCGGACAGTTCGCTAGTCGCCTCGGCCTCCTAAAGCAACTTTACAAACAAGTGGAACTGATCACTTCGGATTACCCATCGATGTCAATCATTCAAGATGGCCTCCATAATTTTATTAGCTTTCACTCCCGGTATAAAAAGGCCGTAGACGACTTAATACGTGCTGGCAGGAGCCCCCTCGAGAAGCAGATGAAAGACGTTCTCCTTTTAGCCAGCTGGAAGGATACTAATATCGTCGCACTACGAGAAAGCGCACGGAAGTCACACCATAAACTTTTTAGGATTGTGAAGAAGTTCAGAGAAATCCTCGGCCAACCTATGAAGCCGATTATTGACGGTGGTCTACCAGACGAGGTACTCGACGAGGCCGCCACAACTGAGATTGAAACGGAAATTATGCCGATTGACAAATCTGCAATTAAGTTGTGCTCTGAAGGCATTCCTAGCTGGAGAGATGAGTACCGGCGGTTAGCGAATACCCAAAGGACAACAGACATCATGAGTAGGCTGAGCCGCATTCCAGAGTCTGCTTTGGATGCTGGCGAAGCTATTAACTCTTTCCTATCCAATCTCGAGGAATCAGCCGCTGAGCTTCGAAAAGAGACCCCTAGCACTCTCACCGAAGAGAACAAGGCATTGGTTAAGCATTTGAAGTCGCGTAAACGGAAACTGTTTGCGGAGACTCTAAAGGAAGCTAGGCAGATGGGAATCCAGTATAATCTCAGTACTGATGTTCTCTCTCAACAAGACGCGCTTTCTACAGTGCTTGCCACATCAGACACGCTTGATTCACAGGCCTTTCAGGAATTCAAGAGCACTGATTACTACTTCCACAAGATGCTTGACCTCGCACCTAAGGTCCGACGCGCATATAATGAACACTCGGATGACCTGACCACGGCAGAAGTAGACAGGAGCATCGGATTCCTTGAAGGTATACTTCATGTCACGCTGAATCAAAGACGTGGATTGGCAAAAGCACTGAAGCACCATGGCGCACTGACCTCCTCTTCGAAATATATCCGCTCCGTTAGCACTTTGCGGGGAGGCAATAAAATCAAAGCCGGGTCGCTGTCTGCTGATTACGAGAGAGCGTGTGCTTGGCTCGTCCAAATTATCAAAGTGGGGAGACATCTTATCGAGCTACACGCAAAGTTTGGGAACTTGGACCATAAGGAGCTTCTCCGACAGCTTGATGGCAGGTTGACTGAATTCACTAATTGGTCTTCCGAATGGAAAGCACTGCCTATATTGCCTAACGATCTTACCTCGCTTGAAAGGTCTCAATTAGAAGCCAAGATCCGTTCATCGCTTAATCAATTCCGGGATGAGTTGGATGACGGGTGTCGACGATGGCCGGTATTAGCGTTCTTATTGGAGCAAATCAAGCTATGGACTGCTGTGGATGAGCAGTCGATATCCACCTCGATTCTGGAAACCAAACAAATCGAAGTCATTCTTGATGCTTCTAAGAACCTTTGCGATAGCATTCTTGTCACCATTGAGCAGCTCAATAAGACAATGGTCAAGTTGCCTGCTTCGCAAGAGGAAGCCGGATGGTTGATAAAGTACGGCGAGGTTATGACCGATTCCCTGAAAGTTCTACGTATGGACAAGGTCGAAAGAAGCATGACAGAGCTTCTAAAGCTTTTCGCTCAGGTCAACTTGGCTGACTCTTCCGTTAACCAAATCTCAACAGCCCTGATGGCAGTCGTGGTACCGATCGTAGACCAATATCAAGTTGCTTGCAACCAGACGATTGGGTCATTCGCGCGTGTCCATAGAAACACTTGCAAGCTTGGCTACAAATTAAGCAAGAGTTTTACTCAGCTTGCCTCCCAAGGTTTCTGCACTCCTCAAGAGAAGTCGGAGGAAAAGTCCGGAGAGACTGGGGAGCTCGAAAGCGGAACAGGTCTCGGGGAAGGTGAGGGCGCTGAAGATATCAGCAAGGATATCCAGCCCGACGAAGACCTATCCGAATTGGCACAAGAGAAAAATCAAGAATCCAAGCAGGAGATGGAGGATGAAAAGGATGCTGTTGATATGGCTGACCAGGAGCTCCAAGGCGACGTCGAAAGCGTAGACGGCGGTGACGACGATGAAAAGGAATCCAACTCTGGCGATGAAGATGAAAGTGGCGATGAGATGGATGAGGAAGCCGGTGAAGTAGATGATCTAGATCCCTCTGCCGTCGACGAGAAGATGTGGGATGGGGAGAATGAGGACGATGCAGAGAAGGACCAGCAAGGAGAAAACACGAAAGGACAGAAGAAGAAGGACGAACAAGTCGCTGCGGAAGCACAGCCCGATACCCAGGAAGTTGATGAAGAGGAAGATGGCAGCCAAGGCGATGAAAATCCTGATGAGAATCCTGCCGCGGAAGAGGACGAAGATGTCCAGCAACAGGATGAAACGAATATGCAGGACCAAAACGTCCAAGAGCAGGATACCTTGGCATTGCCTGACGACATGAACATCGACGGGAATGATGACGATTCAATGTCCTCAATAAGTGACGATGATCTAGATAAACTCTCGGACGTGGACCAGGAAGAGCAAAAGGACAAGCAGATGAGCGACCAGGAAAGCGAGACAAACGAGGATGTGGAGATGGAGATGGCGCCTCCAGACGCTGGTAATGATAATGAAGAAATGGACGAGAACGCGGACGAGGATGAAGAGGCTAGGATCCAAGAAGACGAACAAGCAGAGGAACCGGATCCCCAGACAGAAGAACAGGAAACGGCCCAGTTGCCGTCTAACGACGAAGCTAATGCAGCCAACGAGGACACTGCGCCAAGTGACGTGAAGGGCGGCGGACAAGACCTGGATCCAAACCAGACCGAAGAGGCTGATAATGCCGAAAGCAATGCTGCCCAGCGAGAGGATGGGAAAATGGGCGAGAATGCAGCAGACCAGGATGCATCAGCTGGTAAGAAGGGAAGCGTCTCGAAAACTCAGGAGCAACCTTCTCAGACGGATCAGACAGAGCTTGATGATACTAAGGATTCATCGACTCGTCAACCATTCAAGGCACTTGGTGATGCTCTGGAGAAGTGGCACAGGCAGCAGCAAGATATCAAAGAAGCCCAGGAACAAGAGCCACAAGAACAATCGACGGATGCTGAACCGGAGTCAACAATTCGAGAGTTCCAACACATCCAAAACGACGAGTCTGCTGCAGATACTCAAGCAATGGGCACCTCGAATGAGGAGCAAAAGCAGCAGATTGACGAATCGATGGCAATTGATGAGGATGAGCAACCTGCAGACAGTCGAATTATTCCTGAAGATGAAGTTGAGACGAATGATGCGGACGCGGATAAGATGGATATTTCGGAGCCCCAGAACCAGCAAGACCAGCAAGATACGCAGAAGGAAGAGAGACCTAGCGGAGTGTCAACTCACCAAGGTACTTATAATCGAGATACGACACCTCCAACGAACGGAGAGGAGCCTTTAGAGGAAGTGGAGGAAGAGATCGAAGAGACTTCTACACAGTTGTCGATAACTCATCTATCAGAGCCAAGCTTGGATCTAAGAGACTTTGACGAGACCGTGCAGCAATGGACCTCATTCCAAAGCAAAACTCACCCACTGTCGCTATCTCTGACTTCTCAATTACGTCTTATTCTAACTCCATCTCAATCGACAAAATTATCTGGATCTTACCGAACTGGAAAGCGTCTTAATATCAAGCGTATCATTCCTTACATCGCTTCTAGCTACAAGAGGGACAAGATTTGGATGCGCAGAGCTATCCCGACCAAACGCTCTTACCAGATCTTACTCTGTGTCGACGACAGCAAGAGTATGGGCGAGTCTAGCTCTGGCGAACTAGCTCTTGAGTCCCTCGTCATGGTCTCACGGGCTCTTACTATGCTAGAAGTGGGCCAGATTGGCGTTCTAGGCTTTGGCGCAAATACTTTTATGGCTCACGAATTTACCGAGCCGTTTGCTTCCCACGACGCCGGCGCCAAGGTGCTGCAGAAGTTCACATTCCAACAAGACTACACAAACATCGAACTCCTCGTTAAGCAGACAATCGAGCGCTTCAGGCTCGCACGCCTCCAAAGCACTAGCCGCGGCTCCGAGGATCTGTGGCAATTAGCGCTCATCCTATCGGACGGACTGACACCGTCAGCGGCTCATGAGCACATCCGCGTGCTGCTGCGCGAGGCTATGGAGGAGCGCATCATGATTGTGTTTATTATTATGGACGACACTGCGTCTGGCAAAGACAAAGACAAGCAGAGCGTCGTCAATCTCAAGAAGGTCCGATTCATGGGTAACGACGAGATCCGTACCGAGTACTACCTCGACACGTTCCCGTTCCAGTACTATCTCATCGTGCATAACCTCGAAGATCTCCCTGGCGCGCTGGCGGGGCTGTTGAGGACGTGGTTTGCGGAGGTTAATTCTTAGGTGTGATTGGTTGATTGCGTTATCGCATGGTATCATGCCGGCGTTAATGTTCGTGTTGGGGAGTTCAGGGGTTGGGGAGCCGTGGAAATAAAAATAAAAGGGGTGATTAGTCCTCTTGGACTACGTGTTGATAGATGTTTACGGTATATACAGGTACGGAATATAATTAATTGTTCCGTGGATGGCAATTATATTATGAAAGGAAGCTCTTGATGTGATTTGTTGGATAGGATACAGCTTTGTCGTTGATGCCATGGTTGTGGCGTTGGAGTCTTTTGCCAGGTACGTACGTAGTGTTTCCGGAAGAAGAGAAGAGACGAGGCTAGGATTGGATGCCTCGAAATGACGTAAGAAGGCGAGATTACAGATTCTTCTAAGGGGTTTCGATATGGTTCGAGCGGCAAGGGAAAAGTCAACGGCGCCATTAGGAGTTAAACTTGAACTATTTTATTGATTGACAAGTCACCCAGGGGTAGTATCTGGGATGTATGCAGACCAAGTTGACGTGGTTTTAAAGCAGGCTGCGTTCAGCCGTTGCCACTATGTTAATGTCCATTCCAAACCTCGACTACTCTTCCCCAAGGAATTTATTGGCTATTCTAGATCTGTCAGTTATCACTCTTTATAATGCGCCCCCGGCTCAACGAATTCGTACCCGATTGCCCATTTAATACCTGCGACCCCAACCCACCAACTCGAATAAGATGTATAGAATAAAATAACTCGTATGTATTACTGGTACACATGGATTACCGGGATTGGGTTGTGTAGGTACAACACATTCCGGGGCTGGTAAATTATTTCGCCCTGTTAGCAAGACCTGGTATATCTGGCGTTGTGTTATTACCTTAGGTAGTTTCTCGTTTGATAATATTAGGTAGAAACAATGATAAAAGATTCAAGGATCATGTTCCCCAAAGAAGCTAGATGTTTCTTTCCATGGCTCTTTTTTGAACTTTCTAGAGTATTAGTATTAGGACTTGGTCTAATTCTAAGATTCAGATATACTCTCCTAAGATTTACGGGCATGGGTACGACATGCTCTGGCTCCGAGCCCTCCGGCCCCCCCGACGAGACCGAAACCCCTGATGCTCTTAACCCTTCATCATCTACGTGCACTGAAGGTGCAGAGTTGCCAGGTTCAAAAATGATGGAGAAGGCAATGGCAGAGGAGGAAAGGAAGAGGCATGCAGCAGAGAGGAAGCTGCTAGAAAAATGGAAAGAATTGATCGAGTCGGAGAAAGATAGGGGACTGTGTCCAGGCCTAAAGGACCTAGATAATATGGAACTAGACGACCCTCAAAAGTTCGTAAATCATATTGCAGAGAGGAGGAGTAAGAAACGGCTGTTCGTGTGCTGTGATGGGACACTACAAGACGCAGCCGGCAAATACATTGCACCCCAATCCAACGTTGCAAGGCTTGCCAGGAGCGTACACCGAATTGGCGATGACCCCATTGATAGTGGCACGGTGGGAGGAGTCCCGCAGCTTGTCTACTATTCAAGTGGTATAGGGAGTCATTCGGCACTACACTTAGACGGCATTTTTGCTGCAGTCACTGGAAAAGGTATGTATGAGACGAAGCCCCCCTTCATGAATTAGGTAGTTTTCAAGTCGCTAATTCTCAGTCAGGGTTCAGCAGCACTATATTAAATGCGTATTGCTTTATTAGCAATAACTACAGTCCATCTCTAAGGGATGATATCATTCTTGTTGGATACTCACGCGGTGCTTTCGCGATGCGATGCTTGGCTCACTTTATCAGCGAAGTCGGCCTGCTTCTTCGAAGAGGGCTGGGATTCGTAGGCGTATTCTACGATCTCTGGCTAAGAGATGACAAAGAGGCACTTGAGAGCAAGAAGCTTGACCTCAACCATCTGTTCTTCACAGACGTCAAAATTCAAGTGCTTGCCGAATGGGACCCTGTCAATTCATTGATTTGGTCACCATTCAGAAGCAGCAACCGTCTAATTCGCGAGACAACAATAGTACCAAAGAAGGTCAAAAATGCGTTTGTTGCCATATCCCTTCATGAGAAAAGATGGGCTTTTCGGCCAGTGGTATGGGAGCATAGAAGAACCTATGCAAATAAGGATAATAACCAAAACGTACAACAATGTGCATTTCTAGGAAGCCATAGCGATATAGGAGGCAGCAAGGACGCCGGACTCTCTACGATATCCTTGTTCTGGATGGTTGCAAAGATTAAAGAGGCTTCTAGCGCCCGGTTTGACTATCGTATTTTGGAAGGAATATTTATCCCTGAGAAGAAAGTTCAAGGGATACAAAGACTGCTCACTCCATGGAAAAAGGTAGACTTCGGCTTATCGAACCAAATGGTCTCCAAAGGTATGTAGCACTTCGCGGGAAGACTTTTTTCTGGGAAAAAGCCACTAAAAGCTGCCAGGGAATGTTAGCGAAACGTCTTGTCTATGGCATTTACCCAACTACCTGACCTTGCGACTCTTTTTCAAAGGGAATCGAAGACAGTTACTCATGAAAATGGCAAATCATCCACGACAATTTCGATGCTCGTGCCAGCCGGAGCAAAAGAACTTGGAGCAAGCAAATTCCGATAAGAAAACGCCACCGAAACTAGCGGGCCTCGAGAAGTGCGGATTGGATATTCATAAAACAGTACGCATAATGATCAAGCATAGGGCTGGCCATAGCAAGCCTGAATCTCTGAGCGGTTTTGAGTTTCGGCACAATATACACCGTTGGACCTTGAAGAAAAACCGAGACGTTGGACTGCAAGAGACAGAACTGATGAAAGAGGAATTAGCCCTACTTAAGGATTGGGTTTGGGGTGTTAGGGTGCTCGAGGAGATAATTGAAGAGATGTGGGACATACCAGGGGATGAGATTGAACACAATGATTCTACACTACAGGAGGGTCAGAAGGAAGAAGAGGACATCGGAAACTGGAAAAAGGCCATCAGAAAGGAGGGTACGTCTGGATTAAAGAGGCTTGGTCCAGATAGCGGATCTCTTGCTCAATTCTTAGATGGGTTCTTTGAGCTACCCGGGCCGAAGTCATAGCTGCTCAAGTCAACCCCTGATCTACATACGATCTGTTGGTACTGGATACCTAGCTGTACAAGGCGCTATACTGACTACCTAGGGATGAGGGTCCTATGTATGCAATTACCTACAGGTCTAGCGAAGGGTTGAGGAGATTCTCGACGAAGTATGGATGCAGGTATTTTCCTAAGTCAAACTGCTTTCCGTTTCATAAACCCGTCGAAAAATGACATTATGGCGTCGATGCTTTCTAACGAGCAGATCTTGGATATATCTAGGTAGTCGAGATTGAGCACTCATGATAAAATTGAATGGATGAGAATAATTACCACTTACAGTGATCTGGTCGAACGATGACTACCGCGCCTCGGTTAGGATCTATCCCATACGTTTCATACGCGTGACCGGACGGCGAGTTGTATCCATCATCGTCGGAGAAGACTTTAGTGAGCGCTACGCGTGTATTAGTACCTGATAGTTTGGTAAGTAGAATATAGACGGAGTTGTTCGCTTACACTTCATCTTCCATTTGCTTACGATGGGTGTGAAAACAGGAGGGATCTGGTCTGGTTCAACTTCTGTACGTCCCGACGAGAATATAAGTATAGGGTTGATGACTGCATCGCCGTCGACATCGGGCGGCGTGAAGGCATCGACAATCTTCTGTAGGCCGGATGAAAACTATACACATTAGTGAGTACTTGCCTTACTAACTAACGGCAATGTTGAATAGGGGCATATACGAACGTTTTGCAATCTTGTTAGAGCTTGAGAATCGCGTATATCACCAGGAAACACTAATACATGCCACCAGGATTGGGACGGTAAGAATCGGACCAGTTGCATTACGCGAGCATCGCTGAAGCGGATTACTGGAACACTCGGGAGTCTCATCCCGACGGTTAAGCCCGTGGCCAAGGAAGCTTCACTAGTCTTCGAAGAAACTATTAAAGAGTCGTTGTAATTGACAGCCTGGCCCGCGGTGTGCCGAGCGGACAAGAGGAACTTATCGTGGAACTGTTCTGGTGTAATACCGTGCTCCTTACGATATGAAGTCGAGAAGAGCTTGGACCATGTTCGATCAAACTCGATCAGTTCAGCAGCAGTCTTCTGTCGCTCTGAGACGTACGTCTCAAGTAACTCCGGCGTAGCTTGTCCTCGGATGACAGCCGCTAACTTCCAACCGATGTTATAGCCATCTTGTAAACTGACGTTCATCCCCTGTCCCGCTTTAGGAGAGTGGGTGTGGCAGGCGTCGCCGCCGAGGAAGACGCGGTAGTCTTTGTGGAAGCGGTCGGCAAGGCGTTGGCCGATAGAATAGGCAGACCACCATGCTGTTTCGGCTACCTCTAGATCGTACGGGCGAAGGATTAGCCGGAGCTTTTCGTGAAGCTCTTCTAGCGTGACGTCTTTTGCAATTGAATCCTTCAGCTCTATGTAGAAGCGAACTAGCAGGTCTCCTTCTCGAGGTATGATGATCAGGTTACCTGCTGCCGACTGAATTATAGCCTTCTTGCGGATATCGGGGAAGTTCGTCCGGGGGTAAGTATCCATCACTCCCCAGACGGAATCGCTCGTATCGCCAACCATTTTAAAGCCAAGTGATTTTCGAATAGCGCTGTGAGCTCCGTCGCTGCCCTGGCATGTGCGTTAGGGGCTATAAGAAACGCCAATGATGACACAATTGCCTGCATAGCAGAAAGGGATGATGTCTTACTAGAACATATTTCGTACGGTATTTCCGTTCCGTCCCATCCTTTAATACTGCCACAGTAACACAATATGCATCGGGATCCTGCGCATTCTCGCTATCAACCTCTACGCTCAAGACCTCGCAGCCATACTCGACGCACGTCCCTCCTGCCGCACTCTCCATCTCGTTCGTGAGCAATTCGTTCATCCTGGCCTGGCCGAGGAGAACGTGAGGTAGATGGCTTACACGGGACAACCTATCGGCAGCATAACGTGTGCGCCTGATATCAGTGCCACCATCTTCTGGAGCCCAGAATGCCACCTCGGAGGAATGGTAGGCTTCATTAAGAAGAGTATCGGAAAGTCCGAAGCTCTCGAATATTTCCGTCGTTCGGCACTGAACTCCATCGGCCTGCCCTCTTTCCAGCGGGCCGTCCCGTTGTTCTAGGACCTGGAAACGGATACCGCAGCGGGCGAGCCAGACTCCGGCACATAGACCGGCGGAACCGCCACCACATATTAGTACGTCTACTTGTTCTTCCATGGTCAAGATGAGAGTAAGTAATCCAATGCGTCTAGATTAGTATAATTATACTGTCTATAGATAAAGTGCTATATATATATTTTATAGAGATGTAGGAACGTTAACGGTGACACGACGGGGACGGGAAAAACTCCAACGTGCATGAAATGCGGGGGAGACGGCCGTGGGAGCACAATAGAAGAAGGCTCATTTGCCGTGTGAGGGTTATCTTTAGCCCGTAACTATGCCTTCCTTAAGCTGCAAGATATCTCACTTACCTGTTAAACTATTAGCGTATTTATACCTAGCAACGAATTATAAAGCTTCGGGGTTTAAATGATAATCTTTAAATTATAACTTAAATATTTAACTTAAGTAAAATAAATCACTTTATAACAGTCATATTTTATAACGGTTATAATAATTTTAAAGTTATTATTAATTAATTTATTTATATTTATTCGTTTATTTTTTTACCATTACTTTTATATTTTAACTTAAAATTTATTAATACGATTTAAATATATTTTTACGTAAATTTTTAATTATTTTAAATAACTTTTTATTATATTAAAATTATATTTATTAATATATTAATCGGCTTTTTTATTAAACGTAACTTTAATTTTACTTTAACTTTTTTTATATTTTTTATATATATAAAAATTTAATTTAAGTTTAAAATAACTTTATAACGTTTTTTAAATTTTATTTTTTTTAATATAATTTATATTATTTTAATATACGTTAAATTATAATTTGTTAAAACGCGGGTTACGCTCGTTATAAACGTTTTAAAAATATATAATTCGTGTGTTTATATTTATAAGTCACGGGTAAGTTTTTTAACGAATTATAATTTAAAGTTATTTTAAACTTAAGTTTATATTATAATGGAATTTTATATTAATAAAATTTAAACATTATATTTAAATAATTTAATATAATAAAATAACGTATAAAATAACTTTAACTTAAATAACTTAAAATTAATAATATAATACATTTATTTTTTTAAACTTTTTATATATTTATATAACGTTACGTTATTATATTATAACTTTAAACGTTAAAATCACTTTATAATAAATAATATTATTATTATTATTATTATTACCACCATTATAATTATTAATAACATAATTAATAACATATATAAATAAAATAAAACGCGTTATATTTTATTTAATATAATAATTTAAACTTTCCCGTCTTTTTTTTATATTTATATAACCTCGTCGCGTATTATAATTAATACGTTATAACCGGTATTATAATCGAAATTATAACCGTTATTATAATTACCGTTATAATTAATATTACGGTTATTTTTAACGCTTTAAAAAACTTAAAATAAAAAAGATTTAATTATAAAATTAATACGATTATATAATCAATTAATATTTATTATAAAAATACATTAACATTATTATTTTTAATAATTTTATTAATTATTATTATTAATGTTACGACCGGTGTTATAACCGGTATTATAATTACATTTAACACTTTTAAAAAGTTTTAAAAAACTTAAAACGTATAAATTTAATCGGTAAATTTAATAATGAAATTAATACGATTATATATAATTATTATTTATTATAAAAACGCGTTAATATTATTACTTTTAATGATTTAATTAATTAAATAATATTAATATTATTTTTTCGTAAATTAATTTTTTAAAAGGTATATATTTAAAATAACTTTAAATTAAAAATAAAATATTTTAAAAAAAAGGTTATATAAATTATAATTAATTAAAAAATAATATAATTATAAAAAATACATCTTTTTAAATTAAATATTAAACCTTAATTTAAAATCATTTAAAATAAAATTTATAATTATTTAATTTAAAACTTAATAATAATAAATTTATTAATTTTTATATTAAAAACTTTATTAAATTTATAAAATAAAAATTATATAATAAAAATAATAAAAATTAAATTAAATAAATTAAATTTTAATTATATAATTTTTAACTTTTATAATAATTTAAATATATTAAAATTAATTTTAAATATTATAATTATAAAATTAATAAATTTAAAAATAATAAATAATAAAATAATAAATAATAAAATAATAATATTAAAATTTTTATTTTATATTAAATATAAGTTTTTTAACGGTTATATTAATAATATTAATTATAATTTTAAATATTTTTAATTTATAAAAATATATTTTAATAACATTATTAATTATTATATTTTTATAAATAATTAAAAAAAGTTTTTTTTATTTATATTTTATAAAAGTTAATTAAATAAACGTATTTATAAATAAAATTTAAAAAAATATTTAAAAATAATAAATATATTTATATTAAAAAATTAAAATACGTAAAACGTATAAATTAAAAAAAATAAAATATAAACTTTATAAATTAAATATTTTTATATAAATTTATCGTTTATATAATTATTATAATCGTTTAATATAAAAAGCTTTTATTAATTAAAATTTATAAATTTAATATAAAATAAATAAACTTTTTTAAATTATTTAAAAATAATTTTTTTATTTATTTAACCGTTAAAAAATATAATAAAATATTAAAATTTATATAATTAATTATTTATATTAAAAAATTATTATTATTATATATTAACATTATTAAAAATTATTAATAATAATAATATTTTATTAATAATTATAATAATTATTAAAATAATAATTTATTTTTATTTTAAAAGGATTTTAAATAATATATATTTATAATAAGTTTTTTTAAATATTAAAATATTATTTTTAACATTTTTTTATAATTTAAATTTATTAACGTTTATATATA